CCTCACCTGGTGCACGGACTCGTTCTCTGAAGAGGAGGGCCTCTCTCTTCCCCGGCTGGCCTCTACCAGAGCTCTTTCCTCCACTGCAGAGACTGCCTACCCCCAAAACATGCTTCATTATCTCCCAAGATACTGGCTGATACCCTTTGTTGTGAAATTTACCTTAAGCAGACTCGTTACTACTGTTTACATTGGGCCACAGAGGCTCATTCTGCTGTTGCGGCTCTACTGCCCTTGTGTGAGAACAGACAAGGTGCGGGTCTGTGGCCTTACCACAGTTGACTGTTTTCTTTTGTTTTGTAATTGTACATATGTATTTTTCCTGTATAGCTCTAACTTATGGTTCTGCAGAGGGTTTCTGTGTAGAAGTAATAAACATTCCCTGAAGAGGCGGATGGCTCTCTTCTTCTGTCGGCAGGGCAGATTTGCGCCAGCAGCGCCTCAAGAGGATATACAGTGGGTTTGAGGGCTTCTGCTCGTACTGTTCTCCGTAAGACAACCAGGGCCCTTGTGACAGTGCTCCATTTTTATTTCACAGATAGTAGAAGATCATGTAATTAAGTACAAAATATAATTCACTTCCATTGTTTTAATTAAGGCTGGCTACCTACTCTTGCAACCAAGCTGTTTGGCAAAACACCCGTGTGCAGGTTCTTCGTGAGTTGAACTTGCCTCTCTTCCAGGACCCTAAAGGAGTAAATCCTTTTGGGGAAAAAAACAAGAATATGCGAGAAAATCCTGGTTAAAAACCTGAGTCTACTTATTGCAGGGCCTGACCACGCAAGGCTGCTGGCTGTCAGCAGTGGCTCTGCTAAGGCCGACGCTCAGAGGCAGCCCGAGCCCCCGCCCACAGCCGTGACAGACACAGCTCTTGACCGAAAACTTCCTAGACTGCACTGGAGAAAACACAAGCCAATGCTAGAAACACAGGTTTTCACAAAACCCAGCTACAGAAGCTGTGGGCCGGCGGTAGCTGCTGTCGCAATACCTGCTGCCGGGTCAGTTTTCCTGGCTGATTTGCAGAGCACTCGCTACACGCTGCCTTGGCACCCCCTGCCTCTCTGGCAAATCATTAACACTGTACACAGAAATCGCAGCGGGCAGGATCAGCTCAACAGAAGGAGCTTCTCTAAACGCTCGCCCCCGAACTGCCAAGAATTTCTTGGAAACGTGCCTATTTCTAAGTGCTGCGGAGAGCGCTGCCACGGCACCGCATCGGCGTTCCGCTCGTCCAGAGCAAAACACCCCCCTCCCGCCTAACTGCTAATCCTGGGTAAAGCTAAAGCCACGCTGCTCTCAAATCAGCCGTGAGGCCGAACAGCAATCATCATCGTTGGCTGCTCTGTCACCGCTGCAGGGCCGGGAGCATGCAGGGAGCTCACGGCTAGGTAAACAGCAGCGGGACGGGACAAACGGACCCGGCGCAGGCTCGCTTCAGCACCCCAGGACAACAAGGCTGAACTGACAGTTAACGGCTGAGACGAACATTAAGGACAAAACTAAACGTGACGGCACCTGAAGCCAGTCATTTCAGAGTACCTTTAGTGGAGCAGCTCGGCTGCAAAGCCTGCTCGCTTCACCAACAGTGCTGTGAGAAGGAGGTATAGTAAAATCATTGCAGCTGTAAACTAGCTGAATTATCACATCTTGAGGGGAAAAAAAAAAAGTGATCGGTAGCAGGAACCTTGTGCCCTCAGGCACGTGACAGTGGATGAGACATTGAGACATTTTATCTAGGTTGCAGCAATAGGTAAACTCACTCCTAGGCCAGTTAAACAAACAACGAGCATCATTCATGTCGGTGTGGGAGCATCCTTGTCACCAAGTCGCTCATCCTCAGTCAGCCTTCCTGGGAATCCGGCCCATCTTGGTGCGGATGTTCCGCAGTAAGAAGAAAGCCACTGTGCTACCGGTACAGGTGATTTCGGCTACCCAGAAGGCGGTAGCCCAGCTGTAGTGCTTGGCAATGGTACTGAAGGGCAGTCCCGCCAGAAAACCCCCAACTGTAAGGAAAAACAAACAGAAAACAAGTCACACTCCAGCATCTCAGTTTTATCTGCCAACGCTTGCTTTTGCATGTATAAAAATTCCTGGTTTGAACTTAAAGCGCAAGGCAAAAACCTGTCGGGTGCAGCAGGAAGCATTCCTGAGGCTTCCAGCACTACTCCCTCTGCTGCTCGGGTGACTTCCCCTGGTCAGCAACTTGGTGTCCAGGGGCTAGACCACGCTTCATCCAGCACACACGCGGGTTTTGGTTGGGGTTTTTTTTTGGAAACAGGCATTACTCACCATTGGCCATGAGGGCCACTATGGCATGGGAGGTGCCGCACAGGTTGGCGGGGGCGCTTTCGTTGGCTATAACCCCAAACAAGGCGATCGGCCCATACGAGGAGAACCCAAACACAGCTCCCAGAGTCAGGATCCACAGCTGTCAAAACAAGTTAGGGTCAGAAACAGGATCCGGGCATCTCACCGCTGTCAATCAGCAGCTGCTGACAAATCTCAGGTCCTATGCACGGTAGGAGGGGGTTGTGACATTTTCGGGCTGACACCAGCTCCCTGGCCTGCAGACGGAGGAGCTCAGGCCTGTGCAGACCACCCCCCCCCGCAGCACAGCTGCACATCCACCACACCGTCTCGTCGGGCAGCGCGAGCTCTCCTCTCTCCTGCAGTTCTGCCCCTACACCCTGCACACACGATATGCGCTGTTTGGCAGGGAAGAACCAGAACATCCGAGAGAGATGGGCAGTGAGCCTGTGGAACCACAGGAGAGCGCTGTGAATCGAATCACTTTTAAAGATGATCCTGGAGACACCGACTAAAAGAGTTTCTCATTTTAGATGCAAGCGACCAATCAGAGCATCTTTATTTGCGAGTAGCCACTATCTGATAACCTCTGTGTTACTAAACAAACACAGAAACAAATCCAAAACGCCCCAACAGTCTGAACTTCAGTGTTGGCTTACGCTGCAAGACATCTACCGGCCTCAGAATTTATCAGTCGCTTGTGAAAGGACAACAGAGGATACGTAACGTGACCGTCTCGAGATTACAGCATGCTTTTTGAACTACAAACACCATTTCCAGATGCCCAGAAGGAAGTAAGTGCCACCTCATATTTCAGACAGGCAACAGAAACAGAGAGTTAGGAAAACACTTGCCAAAGTGAAGCAGGAAGGCATCTGCGGGAACAGCATCATTTCTCCTGACCTCGCTCACAAGACCCCCTTAACTGGCTACATTTTACCTGACGAACAAACATCCTCAGAACATTCTAGATAAGAATTTAAAGATTTTACATTCAGACTTGTAAAGTCAGTTAGCGTAATCAAAGGATTGTAAGAAAGGTTTCCTTTACAAAACTTACAGTAGTCTTCTCAATGCCCTGGTTCTAAGTTCTGGAGTGCTAACCAGCCTCCCAGGATAGGAAAAAGGTAGATCAGCGAAAGCAGAAACAGGCAGAGGGAGAAAAAAAAGGCAAGGCAGAAACCTCATGTTCTTTTAGGCCTGTAAGATCAGCTAGAGGTTGCAAGGCTACAGTCCAGAAGTGATTTTCCTAAAGAAGAAAAAAAGGACAAAGGAGAAAAGAGGTTTTGTTTATTTAGCAATCATTCAGGCACAGCAAGTCGTGTCTACGCTACAGCTGGTAACATGGGATATCCGAGCCAAGGGAGGCAGCAGAGGCAGTCCCAACCAGGCTCAGGTCGCCTGCTTCTCTGCAGCGCAAAGAGGATACAAACTTACAGCTATTGGGAAGGGTGAAGAAAACAGTCATGCTCCGTGTCATCAAACTCCTCACCATTAAATGGCTGTCCCTACAATTTGCGGTCAGCTGTTCATGCATGGATTACCTTGGGAGAATCGCCTGTGACCGTGACGCGGAAGAGGAACATGGACACGCACATCCCAGCCATCATGGAAAGCAGCAGCGCGTGCCGAGGATTCCCGTAGCTCGACAGACCCACCTGTAACACAGGAAGGGAAACTGAGGGTCAGAAACTGGAAGGACTCCTCCCATTTTATACTCGGAGTAACTAACTCCGTCCACACAGCCCAGTCGGAAACACAGACGGTGCCCCAAAAGCATACCTTAGTTTGGGTTAAGGGCTGCCCGCAGTCCAACTGTACTAAACAAGAAGCTCTTAGTGATGAGTGATACTTCTGTTATCAACTGCGCCCTATTTCCACCCTGAATTTGGCCTCAGAACTCATCACTGGGTTTTAACGTGCATTTTTTTTCAGGCAGAAGACAGCTGTCAACAGTCGATCTTTCAACACAGAAATCTGGAGAGCGCAGTAAAGCTGACAAATTACGCAGATCAAACATCTTAAACCTGACAGGCGTATCGCAGACCCTAACATTGGCATACGTATTTCCCAACACCTTCCAGGGTGTTCAGCAGTTGTCCTCATGCGTGCAGCAGAACGGGGTAGGGGCCTGCGTCTCAGTTGTAGCACACAGCAGGAACACCACCCTGACTGAGCACCTTAGCTAAGCTGTTGAGACGGGTCACGTCCCTCCCAGCCTACCTCCGTGTGAAGGAAAAGAGATGGGTTAATCAAGAATGGTCTGATTTTTAAACACCTCATTTCAAAGCAGGGAGGTTTAGAGACAGAACTGCATTCAGAAGAGCAGCGTGGGCAGACAGGAGAAAGAACCATGGTACTGAGAACGGCTGTTCTCCGTCGCGAGGCAGCAGCTCCCCACCTCCACATTCTGGGTACCCTGAGTCTCCAGAGCCATGTAAACAAGGGAAGCATTCTGCTCCACTACTGGTGCAGGGATCAGGGGCGGGGTGGGGAGAATCATCTTTAAGCACTCCCAAAGGAAGCCAAAAACAAACGTGAAAATTCTGAAGTGGCTCTAGTTGACGCTGTGCCAACTGCACTGCACGGCTGAGGGTCCAGATTACTTACTCTTGCTACCGCTCTGTCAGAAAGGTATCCAGCAGCAATGCTTCCCACCAGACCCCCAATCTCCAAGGCACTCATGTAGGAGCTACCTAGAATGCAGGTGAAGCAAAGAACAGGCCATCAGGTTTGGTCACAACGGCAAAGCTGCTGCACGCTTTAGACCAAGCTTGACTGCTGCCACCTCACCGTGAGCTCAGAGCAGCTCTGCCGGACAAGAGCCTCCAGCTCATCCTTGTCCAGCAATGCCTGTCTGCCAGCCCCAGGAGGGCCCTGGCACAGGACAGCACTGGGGCACTTGGAGCACGCGGTAACTCAGCAGCAAGTCATTTCAATAACTACATGTATCTAAAAGGACAGGTAGGATGTGAGCAAACGGGTCCCTCAGATGGAGGTGCTCGTGTCCTTTTGCGGTACCCAGTCGAGCTCTCTGCCACACCTCTCAAATTGCAGCCACAAAGCTTAAAAACGCAGCTTTGCATCTTACCCACAAGCATGGATTGTCCCCTCTCCTGGATCAGGAAGAGCTGTCCCCAGTCGGTACAGCATGTTTTCACTCCAAAAACGACCAGGTAGCCTGTCGAGAGCACCCAGAGGTATGGCGAGAGCAGCAGCTCTGTCAGAGTGCTATTGTCACTGGCGGAACCTGTAAGGAAGATCAGGAGGAACATTACTACTGCATGAGCACAGCTGCTG